GGTTCTGAGAAAACCGGGGAAAGAAGATTATACGCACCCCAAAGCTTATAGGCCGATAGGTTTGCTGTCAATAATGGGCAAAATCCTGGAGAAAATGACTATAAGAAGGATAAGGTGGCATATTCAACCTGGGGGAAGTACTCGCCAATACGGCTTCACGCTACAGAAAAGCACCGAAGATTCCCTCTATGACATGATGGAGTATATACAAACACAACTACGAAATAAAAAGATAATCACTATGGTATCACTTGACATAGAGGGAGCCTTCGATAGTGCATGGTGGCCGGCCATCAGATGTCGATTGGCTGAGGAAAAATGCCCTATAAACATACGACGGTTGATGGATAGTTATCTCCAGGATAGAAAGGTTAACATCAGATACGCTGGTGCAGAGCACCACCGCGCTACTTCAAAGGGGTGCGTACAGGGTTCCATAGGGGGACCGGTACTGTGGAATCTGCTACTAGATCCTCTGCTAAAGGAGTTGGAGGCGAGAGGCGACCGGTGTCAGGCTTTTGCCGACGATATCGTTCTCCTGTTTGCGGGGGACACGGCGCTTGAGATCCAGAGGCGTGCAAATGCCGCTCTCGAGCATGTTCGGAGGTGGGGAATTCGTAATAAACTGAACTTTGCGCCACAAAAGACCAAGGCTATGGTATTAACCAACAAGTTAAAGTACGATTCACCACAGCTGAGCATGGGCGGGATAGACATTGGCATGTCGGAGGAGATCAAAGTGCTTGGTCTCACCGTAGACAGAAAGCTCACATTTAAAACCCATGTAAAAAATGTGTGCAGGAAGGCCACAGCTCTTTACGTACAATTATCAAGGGCAGCCAAAATCAGTTGGGGTCTTCAACCAGAAATCGTAAGAACGATATACGTGGCGGTTGCGGAACCGATTGTGCTGTATGCAGCGAGCGCGTGGGCGCCAGCCGTCAACAAACTGGGAGTCCGAAGGCTTCTAAACACCGTACAAAGAGGATTCGCTCAGAAAATTATTAAAGCATACCGTACCGTCTCTCTACACTCGGCGCTAGCGCTGGCAGGACTGCTTCCTCTGGACCTTAGAATCCAGGAAGCAGCTTCCCTCTTTATAGCAAAGAGAGGACAGCTCCAGTCAGTGCTGGGAGACCGAGAGGTGGAGACAAGGGCGAAACTTATTGAGTTGCCTCACCCAGCATCGTATATGGACCTGGAATTCGTGTGCCTGGTAAATGAGAACGAAATGAGTTACAATAACACCCAGAGTCTCCGAATATTTACCGACGGGAGCAAAATAGAGGGAAAGGTCGGAGCAGCACTTTCCATTTGGAATAGTGCAGCCGAGATTCGAACTCTAAGGCTTAAACTGTCGGACTATTGTACTGTTTACCAGGCTGAATTGCTGGCCATATACATGGCAACTGAGCGAATCCTCAACAGCGCTGAAGGAAGCTTTGGGGTTTACAGTGACTCGAGATCAGCACTCGAGACCATTGTAAACCAAGACTCCCAGCATCCCCTAGCAGTGAAGACCCGCAAAAATATACATACAATCTTGGAACAACAAAAAAGTATCCAACTTTTTTGGATAAAAGCCCACGCGGGTCTTGCGGGGAACGAGCGTGCTGATGAATTGGCCAAACTCGCCGCGCTCCGGAATAAAGGTAAACCAGATTACGATCTGTGCCCGGTCTCCTACATTAAGAGCATAATTCGAAAAGTCACAATAGAAAAATGGAACCTCAGGTACGCAGAGGGTGAAACAGGTCGACTCACGAAGAAATTCCTCCAGAGTGTCCAAGATGCCTATAAAGTGACTAGGGATGCAGCACTGTCTCCATTTATGATCCAAGCGATTACGGGGCATGGCGGGTTCTCCGAGTATCTGTACCGATTCCGATGCAAGGAGAGCCCCTCATGCGTTTGTGAGCCTGGAGTTGAGGAGACAGTGCTGCATGTACTTCTTAAGTGTCCCAGATTTGGTGTACAAAGGCACGATTTTGAGACGGCGACCAAAGAAACTCTTAGAGAAGAAAATTTGTATAAACTGATGGGCACTAGAAACACTCGTGACAAATTTATTAAATTCTGTGAAGAAATAGTTAGTATTGTGGTGAAAAATAACCGAAGTTAAGTAGGTAGTATAGTTTTACATTTAAGTATATTTTGAATTAAGTTTTTAAGTTTACAATCACAATCACAATATATCAATATAAGAATAGTAATACTAATAGTCAATATGTTAATTTATAATACAATTTAATCTATATTTTTTATTATTTTTAAATGTTATTAATTATACAAAGTTTTAGTTATATAATTTATTAATTATAGTATGTAGTTATGATTTTCAAAAGTAATATGTGTTTAATGTAATATGAGCGTTGTGTCAACAAAGTGTAATGTATGGCATAAATTGCAAACGCAACATTGTCAATCGGGGCTTCCTTGTGCCTATAGCCAGTATAGTCAGAGAGAATGAACCGATACATAGAAAAATTTGAACTGCAAGAAAAATTATCATTTAATTGAAAAGTAAACAAAAAATTAAAGGACTCCATAATTAGTGATACACAACGACTCTGATTTACATGTCAGAGGGCTGCAGAAAAAAAAAAAAAAAAAAAAAAAAAAAAAACCTAACCTAACCTAACCTAACCTAACCTAACCTAACCTAACCTAACCTAACCTAACCTAACCTAACCTAACCTAACCTAACCTAACCTAACCTAACCTAGCCTAGTCCGGTGTCAATTGCCGTCCCGAACGCCACGTTTTTAAGTCGCTCCGCAGTTAAAAATTCCGAAAAATAGGTTTTTCGCATCCGATTTTGGTGTTCTATACATTAAAAGATGCGCGTTGACGAGCGGTTTAATATAGTGTAAACCGCATGAAAATCGGAGTTTTGGTGAAAAAGTTATTGTAAAAATAGTGTTTTTTGAAAAAGTGAAAAACTTCAAAGTGCAACGCTGCGCGATTAAGCGCTTTTATCCCAACTTTTTAAAGTGTGGTTTAGAAGGCATCAGTGAATTCTATAAATGTGCAAAATTTTAGATTTTTCTGTGTGGTAGTTTTCGAGAAAAAAGCAAAAAAACAAGTCCCACGTGGGCACGTGTTTTGTGACGCAGTGTCGTGCGGCTTTTTTTGATGTCGCATTCTGGTCGCAAACGCAGAGGGGAGCCTGGAGCAATTTTCGGATTTTTCAAAAGTTAAGTGGTTCAAGAGTTATGAAATTTTTAAATTTTACAAAATTTCAAAATTAAATTTTTCAAGAACTAAAGTTAGGACCCCTAGTTTTTATAGTGCGGCTTTGAAGCTATTAGTGGTCCCTACAACCGTACAAAATTTGAGATTTTTCCGAAGCATAGTTTCTGAGAAAAACCCAAAAAAACAAGTACCACGTGGGCACGTGTTCTGTGATGCAGAATCGTGCGGCTACTTTTGGAGTCGTATTCCGTTAGCAAACGCAGAGAGGAGCCGGGAGCAGTTTTCGGAATTATCATAAGTTAAGTGGCTGAAGAAATATTGAACTTTAAAATTTTAGAAATAATTGTTAATTAAATTACTAAAAAACGCAATAGAATCTCGTAGTTTTTAATACAAAATAGTGTTAGAACTAATGCCTTAAATGTATATAACAAAATTTTGGATTTTTGCAATAAGTAGTTTTTAAGTTAGAATTTTTTAAAATTTTTAGATATTTTTATGTTACCTTTATTACGTGTAAAAAATTGTAAAAATATATACCCATAATTAGGATACTGAGAATAACTTCCCAAAATTTTTGTAGATTTTTAGAACTAAATTTGGCAGAGAAAATCAATTTTTTTTAAATATTATATATTTTTTGTAAAAATTTTTATTAAAAAAGGGCTTTAAGCGCCGAAATATCTATTTAGCTGCAATCTTGACACCGAGACCTTTCAAACGAGCCCAAACACGGTCCAAATCGGTGAAAGGACGCCCAAAATAACAGTTTGCTGTCAGGACCGGCGGCCATTTTGAAAATTTTTAAACTGAAATAACTTCTGTTCTAGGACTCGTAGCGAGTTGCGGTTTTGGGCATTATAATTGCCCTATTATAGTCTCTCTTATAACCACGAAAATTCGCTCTACAAAAAATTGCGAAGTGAAGCTTCTTTTAAAACTAAAATATAAGGTTGAAAGGGTGCTATCTGTGGCAACCAAAACCGCGAGACTCTGCGGCGAAAACTGACCGAGTTATAAATAATTTAAATTTTGGTCGCCATTTTGGTCGCCATATTGGAAAGTTTTGACCTGACGTATCTCTGAAAGTACTGGGTGGATTTCGATGCGGTTTTCGATACACGCGATTGCCTAAGATCCTTTATCTTACCGTCTGATAATTATAGTAACTTGGCGGCCATTTTTGGTCAGCCATTTTGTAAAAATTATAACCGCTATATCTTTTGTAGGACTGCAACGATTTCAACCGGACTTTCAGAATAAGGTAGGATATACCTTTGACTTTCTATCCAAGAAACAAAAATACCTATATAGAGATAATTGTGCGACCTATGTGCGACTTGGTAGAGCCAAGTAGTTTTTAAGTAGTTTTTAAGTATTTTATATCTTTTATTCTTGTTTGACTGTGTTATATTCTTACTTTCTTACTTTTATTTACTGTAATACTCATAAACAGACTCTACATAGAGTCATACAGACCTGTACTAAATTGGACAGTTAAAAATATTTTATTAAATTATAGACGCGCCACTCTGTATAGTGGTGTAGTATATAACGAAGTAGAGTCAAGACTCTACATAAAATTTTTATTAATATAAAATTTTTGCTTATTATATGGATAGAGCCTAACTTGATTCCACGATAACCGTGTCGAGCTGCAAACACATTCAATTCCATACTTTTATATTTTATATTTCTTTTACAACTTATACAAATTTACGTTTTTAAATTTATTTTATTTTATTTATACAAGCTACAAAGATCACCTATTATTATTGTGATCTGAGACGCGTTTCCCCCTAAACATGTTCGGCATCCGTACTCCCGCTAAAAGGATCGAGAGCAGCGCCAAAGACATGAGCCCTCAGGGCTCTCCAACTAAGACAGAGAAGGCAGGACCTTCTCCAAAAAATCAGAGGACGCTGGCCTCTAGCGTGAGGAGAAGCATAGGAGAATGGGAGACAGGGAAATTAGACATAGAAGCCGGAACACATAGCCCTCCAAAAAAGGTAATTCCGACTGCTCGCCAAAGACAAAAAACTATGCCGTCACATGAAACAAAGGGAACAACTCGCAAAGCATTAGAGGAGGCAAAAGAGGGCTCGCCGAAGACTGAGACTGCAAAATATGCGGATCGTCTGACCGAGGCCCGTGCCTGCCTTCATAAAGCAAAACTGCACTTAAACAACTCACGAAATCTGAGGACAGACATTAAAACTGAAGTAACACAGGCTATAGAAAGACTATACCAGCTAGTCAAAGAGGCAGAGACAGGAAAGAGCACAGGAAAAGAGAGAGATTTAATGGAGCAGGAGAAACGCGAGGAAAGACTCGAAGATGAATATGAAAGAAAAAAATCAGAAGAACATATTAAACTAATGAAGAAGCTAGAAGAACACGGAAAACTTCTGGAAGAAAATAACAAAGAGATTGAAAAATTAAGGGTTGAAATGAAAAAACACGAAAATAAGGAAGAAAGGGTAACATACGCGAGTATACTGGCTGGGAAATCGAATAGACTATCCTCGGAAAATATGGCCATGCACTCGGTGGCTATTACATCAACCGACGAAAAGGAGACCGGAGATCAGGTGATCGATAGAATAAGAAAGGCAATAAATGCAAAAGAAGAAGGACTCAAAATAGATAAAATCAGGAAGGCAAGGGACAGAAAAGTAATTGTGGGATGTTGCACTCAAGAAGAGATAAACAGAGTTAAGGAAAGAATAAAAAATGCAAGTGAACACCTAAATGTAGACGATATAAAAAACAAAGACCCACTAGTAATTCTTAAAGATGTGCTGCAATATAATTCAGATGAGGAGATAGTGAAGGCGATAAGAGTCCAAAATACGCAACTCTTCAAAGAACTACAAGACGAAGAGGACAGAATTGAGATAAAATATAAAAAGAAGACCAGAAATCCGCACACCTCCCATATTGTGATGAGAGTTTCGCCTCAGCTATGGAACCGTCTCACAGAAGCTGGAGTGATCCATGTGGACCTCCAACGAGTGAGGGTAGCAGACCAATCCCCACTCGTCCAATGTTCACGATGCTTAGGATACGGACACAGCAAGCGCCTATGCAATGAAACGACAGAGGTCTGCAGCCACTGTGGAGGCCCACACCTCAGAACAGAATGTGCCGACTGGCTCTCCGGTGAATTACCATCATGTAGGAACTGCTTAAGGGCAAAAATGGACAGGAAAGACCATAACGCGTTCAGTTCAGATTGCCCAGTGAGAAGGAAATGGGAGACCTTGGCAAGATCCACCGTAGCATATTGCTAAGGTGGTCCCAAGGTTTAACAGAAACCAAAACACGGGCAACCACCGGTATCACGCAATCCAGGCAAACCTTCAGCGAAGCGAATTAGCTACCGCCGAATTGATCATCGAGGCAACTTTGAAAAAGATATCCTTCGCCTTGGTCCAGGAACCCTACATCGGTCGAATTGGGGAGATGAAAAGCTATCCAGGGACACGAATAATACAATGTTACAGAGAACCCAACACCGAAAAGGTCATCAAAGCAGCCATTGTATTGTTCGACGACACCATTAACATAACCCAGTGTCCCGGGTTAACAACGGAAAACATTGCAGTCGCCAGGTTAAGGACTGGGACCTGGGAGATGGGAGTGGTGTCTGTCTATCTGGAAAGCGATAAGCCAATCGACCCATACCTGGACACGATCGAAAAGGCCGTGGAAGCTTTGGGGACTGGAAGCGTGATAGTCGGTGGTGACGTGAACGCATGGAACACCTGGTGGGGAAGCCGGGAGGCGGACGTCAGGGGAATAGACGTGGCTGCTAAACTCGACGAATTGGAGCTCCATATACTAAATGAGGGAACTGAACCCACTTTTGATACCATCAGAGGTGGAAAAAGGTTTTCTAGCTGCGTAGACATAACAACTTGCTCGACGAGCCTGCTTGGAAGGGTTGAAAACTGGAGGCTATCCGAAGAAATAACTAGTTCGGACCACAGGGCAATCCTATTCGACATAAATTTAGAAAAATCCGTTGGCATAGACATAGAAAGAAAAACAAGAAAATACAATACAAAAAAGGCAAACTGGAGCGAGTTTCGTGAGAAACTTCTCCAGATTTGGAGCAATAAACAAATTAATAAAATAGAAATAGATAAAATAGAGATGAGAGAAGAATTAGAGATAAAAATAGCAGAAGTTACAAAAACAATAACCGAACTTTGCGACAATACTTTACCCAAATTAAAACACAAGAAGCGTATGGGATTGCCCTGGTGGACCGACGAGTTAACACAGCGCAAAAAAGAAGTCTCCAGACTGAAGCGTCGAATCTCATACGCAGCACCAATTCGTCGAGAGTGGGTCGTTGAACAATATCTCAATGCAAAAGAAGGGTACCAGCAGGAAGTTAAAAGAGCTCAAACTTCCAGCTGGAAGGACTTCTGTAGCAAACAAGATAGAGAGTCAATGTGGGACGGGATCTATAGGGTGATAGGCCGTACAACACAGAGACAGGAGGATACTCCCCTTGTCCTGAACGGGAAAACTATGGGGAATGAAGAATCAGCCAAGACCCTGGCAGAAATATTTTATCCGGAAGACGACACCCAGGAGGACGATGCTGGACACAGGCTGATAAGAGAGACAGCGAGAGTTGTAAATGAAGTATCACATGATGACTCATGTGACCCACCTTTTACTATGGAGGAGCTGATGTGGTCTGTGTCTAGTTTCAACCCCAAAAAGGCACCAGGGAATGACGGCCTTACGGCCGACATTTGTGAAGCAGCTATAGCCTCGGACCCGAAACTGTTTTTGGCGATTGCCAATAAATGCCTGAGTCTGGCGTACTTTCCAAAAAAATGGAAAGAGGCGGTAGTAGTGGTGCTGCGAAAGCCTGGAAAAGAGAGCTACACACATCCCAAATCTTATAGACCCATTGGGCTGCTACCTGTACTTGGGAAAATCTATGAAAAGATGCTAATTCAAAGAATTAAATGGCATATTGTGCCTAAAATTAGCCCGACACAATATGGATTTATGCCACAGCGTAGCACCGAAGACTCCCTCTATGACATGGTGCAGCACATAAAAGCTAAGCTGAAGAATAAAAAGCTAATTGTATTAATATCTTTGGACATAGAGGGAGCCTTCGACAACGCATGGTGGCCGGCAATAAGATGTAGATTAGCAGAGTCTGGGTGCCCGATAAATTTAAGGCGCCTCACAGACAATTATTTTGAGGACAGAGCAGTACGCGTTAGGTACGCAGGAGCAGAATGGGTGAAAACGACTGCGAAGGGATGTGTGCAAGGCTCCATAGGGGGTCCCATATTTTGGAATTTGTTACTCGACCCACTATTGAAGGAACTAAGCGAAAAAGGGGAACACTGCCAGGCTTTCGCAGACGATGTGGTCCTGATCTTCTCCGGGGATAGGGCATTGGAAGTCCAAGACCGGGCCAATGCGGCCCTCGCATATGTTCAGAAGTGGGGAGTCAGAAACAAGCTTAGATTTGCACCACATAAAACTAAAGCCATGGTGATTACAAACAAGATAAAGTATGACTCACCACTTCTGAAAATGGGTGGGAAGAACATTGCATTGTCAAGAGAAATAAAAATACTTGGACTCACAATAGATGACAAATTGACCTTCAACACACATATTAAAAATGTGTGCTGTAAGGTACAAAGACTCTACAGCCAACTAATAAGAGCCGCTAAGATCAATTGGGGCCTGAACCCGGGGATCATTAGGACCATTTACGTTGCAGTAACGGAGCCGATAATCATGTATGCGGCAAGCGTGTGGGCACCGTCAACATATAAATTAAAAGTTAAAAAGCAGCTCGACATGGCACAACGCGGGTTTGTTCAAAAAATAATTAAGTCATACAAAACCGTATCTCTACACTCGGCCTTACTACTCGCTGGGTTGCTTCCTTTGGACCTAAGGGTTCAAGAAGCGGCCTCACTTTATGAAATAAAGAAAGGTTTCTCCCAGCGGGTGGTGGGGGACCGAGATGTGGAACGGAAATTAGAGTACTCCAAGACACCTCACCCCGCAAATCAAACTGGGCTGCAGTTCAAGTGCCTGGGGGACAGTGCGGAAGTTGACCAACATGACAATAAATGTATAAAAATATATACAGATGGTAGTAAGATCGAGGGGAAAGTCGGCGCTGCGTTATCTGTATGGAGACACGCAGTGGAGATAAGTACCCGAAAACTAAAGTTGGAAGATTTCTGCACTGTCTACCAGGCGGAGCTGCTGGCCATCTTCGAGGCAACAAATTACGCGCTTAGAGACTCGGCAATGTACTGCAACATATACAGCGATTCGAGGTCTGCACTGCAGACAGTTGTCCAGAACGTTACCTTCCACCCCTTAGCCGCAAATATTAGAAAAAACATTTCAAAAATTCAAAAACAAGGAAAATTAATTAAACTGCTCTGGGTTAAAGCACACGCGGGGTTGGAGGGGAATGAGAGGGCAGACGAACTAGCAAAGGAAGCCGCCTTAAAACTAAAAAGAAAACCTAACTACGATAAGTGTCCGATTTCATTCGTCAAACGACAGATTCGTCTTGACTCACTTGACGAATGGAATCGACGCTACATAGAAGGCGAAACGGCCTCTGTAACTAAAATATACTTCCCCAATGCAATAAGTGCCTACCCTATAATAAGGAAACTAAATATGGACCCGTTAATGGTGCAAATGATGACCGGACATGGCGGGTTCTCGGAATACTTGCATCGGTTCAAATGCAAGGAGAGCCCATCATGTGCCTGTGATCCAATGATGGAAGAAAGCGTATTGCACATCATAACAGAATGTCCCATCTATAGCAAAGAAAGAAATAATGTAGAAATAGAATTAGAAACTAAAATAGGAAAAGATAGTATATGTAAAATAATAGGAAGTAAATGTACTAGAATAAGGTTCTTAAACTACTGTAAGCTTATAGCAAATAAGGTAGTAAATAAAAACAAATAAAAATAGCAATAAGGAAACTGTGACTTATATATAAGTATATAATGTAAACAGCTCCGCTAAATTAGTAGAAAAGTAGATTAAGATATAGCAATAAAAACAAAAGCAATAATTATATTAGATGTAAGTAAAATAAGAAAAAAGAACCGAATTTAAGATACATAGATACAAGTAAAAAGAGAAAAATGTCCCTGATCTCTCTCCGCATTTTATATTATTATATAGAGGTATTAATAAGCAAGAGCTATAATGTTATTACATATTTAGATTAAGAGTAGTAGGACTCCCGAATGAAAACCCGGAGTTCTCTACACCCTCTATAATATGAAGGACAATGAATTAAATAAAAAACAAGAAATTGAAGTCCGTGTTGAGCTGACAATGTCTCTGACCTCCATGTCAAAGGAAAGCAGCAAAACATACAAAAAAAAAAAAAAAAAAAAACCTAACCTAGCCTAACCTAGCCTAACCTAGCCTAACCTAGCCTTTTTTTTTTTTTTTTTTTTTTTACGGGGGGAAATCCTCATGGACTACCTCCGCCTGGGGAAAGGCGGAGGTGCGTGCCGGACTCATACCGGCTAAAACCACCCCGGTGTCTCCTCACACGTGCGCGTGGGGCCGCGGGAATCCAAATTCTTCCGCAGCCCCACACTAGTGCTGGCCCGGTCTGTCCAGGCCTCGTCTCCTGCACGGGGTAGTGAGGTGTTGAACTACCCCGTGTATCGCCTCAGGGGCGCGCGCCGACACCCGCGCGCGCCTCCGCCTCGGGTCCATCGAGTAGGGGTGGCGGGGGCTTCCCCAAGTCCCTCGCCCCTGGACCCATTTATGGGGGCCGGAAAAGGGCGTTGTCCGCCCTTCTCCTGCGCCCGGTGCGCCTTCTGCGGCCAGGGAAGGGAGTCGAGATCTCCCTTTCCCGTTCCGCAGTTTCCTTCTGCGACATCACGTCCTCGCAGAAGGACACCACTGCATCCCACGACTCTGCGCTACCGACCATCTTCCGCACTAAGGCCGGCAGCGACAGATCGCCTCCTACTTTATTTGTGAGGACACGGCGCTGCTCCTCCCAAGCTACACACTCGGCGAGCGTGTGTTGCGCCGTGTCCTCCCCGCAATGGACGCAGTGGTGGCACCGAGCGTCCGGCTCCCTGTCTATGCGGCGCAGGTACTTGCCGAAGCAGCCATGCCCCGACAGCACCTGCGTCACCCTAAACGACAGGGAGCCGTGCCTTCTCCCGAGCCAGTCGTCGAGTACTGGCCGGATCGCCTCGACGGTAGCGAGGCCGGCGGTAGGGCGCAGAAGCCTTTGCCGCCATTCCGCCACCAAGACCTGACGGAGCTCCTCTCGGCGCAGCGCGATCTGCCGCTGCACCGGTCTCGAGCCCCGTGCCCGCTCTTCCTCGCGCCATCGATATAATGACGCGAGTACTTTCGCCTCTAGGTCCCAGGGCGGGGATCCGGCCAGGACGCAAGCCGCCTCGTAGGAAATCGTGCGATACCCGCGGACGACTCTGACGGCCATCGCCCTCTGCGGTTTACGCAGAATGGCGAAAGTGCTGGCCGTCATGTCCATCGCCCACACAGGGGCCCCATACAGGGCCATGGACCGCACGATTCCCACGTACAACCGCCTACAGGCGGCGCTCGGGCCCCCCAAGTTGGGAAGCAACGTTGATAGCGCGCCCGCTGCACCCATCAGCTTGGGCGCCAGCCGCCGGAAGTGGGGTCCGAATTCCCATCGGCTGTCGAGCACCAATCCCAGATACTTCATGGTGGACTCGACAGCTATCCGGGCCCCGCTGACCACGATGTGTGAACCCGGCGGCGGCGCGCGTCGAGGGCCATGGAACACCATGGCCTCCGACTTACTTAGGGCCACCTCCAGGCCCAGGCGCCGGATGCGGTTCACCACTTGTGACACCGCAGCCGTGGCAACCAACGCTGCTTCCCTGTGCGAACTCCCCCGGGCAGTGACGAGCGTGTCATCCGCATAACACGTCAATTCGGCGCCCGACGGGAGTTCACCTCTCAGCACCCAGTCGTAGCCGATGTTCCACAGGAGCGGTCCCAAGACCGATCCCTGCGGAACACCGCACGACATGACGCGCCGACCAGCGCCGTCACGTCCCCAATAGGTAATGCATCTCTCCTCAAGGTAAGCCCCTATTATGCGGCGGAGGTAGGGAGGCACGCGATGGTAATTCAGTGCCTCCCGAATACAACTCCAGGGTAGGGTGTTGAAGGCGTTGGAGATGTCTAAAGACACCGCCAGCACCACCCCACCCCGGGATACTGTCTCCTCCGCCAGGGCCCTCACGCGCGTAATAGCGTCTATGGTGGAGCGCCCGCGACGAAAACCAAACTGGTTCTCGTCCAGGTCCGGCCCCTCTCTGCACAAGTGGCCGACGAGGCGATCTGCGATGATACGCTCAAGAAGTTTGCCCGCCTCGTCGAGCAGCACTATGGGCCGGTACGCGGACGGTGAGTCCGCGGGGCGCCCCTCCTTCCTGAGCAGGACCAGCCTCCCCTCCTTCCACACACTGGGAAACTGACCCTGCTCGAGACATGCCGTGAAGAGCCCTCTCAGCTGGGGCTCTAGCTCCTTCAGAGCCAGGACGAGAGCTCGACCAGGAACTCCGTCGGGTCCGGGCGCAGTGTTCTTAGCCCGGAGTCGCGACACGGCCACTCTCGTCTCTGCTTGCGTCACCTCGGGGACATCGGTGCTCTCCTCTTCTGGAGAGTCTGTGGCTGAGGGCGAAGCCATCGCCGGGGGAACGTGTCCCACTCGCTCAGGGAAGAGAGTCGATAACACCGACTCTAGCAACTGGGGTTGCATCCTTTGTGTTAGTGGAGGCGCCCAGGGACGCAACTTGCCCCGAATCCAACGGTAGGGGCGCCCCCACGGATCCCGATCTAGGGACCCCAGTAGCTCCTCCCTGGCACGCGACTTTGAGTCGCCGATGGCCAGCCGCAGAGTCTCCTTAGACGCGCGGTACACCTCATACAGCGCGTCCTCCTCGGCGGAATCCCGTCGACGCCGCCTCCGGTATCGGGTGTACCGGCGACGAGCCGCAACGCACGCTATGCGCAATTGCGCGATCTCGGCGGTCCACCAGTACACCTGGCGCCTTGCGGACCGTTGGTGGACACGGGGCATGGACGCGTCGCAGATCTGCGTCATCGCCCCGCGAAACCATAGCGCCACCGCTTCGACGTCGACGGGGCCGTCCGTCGTCGACTCCCGAATCCAGGACTGGACTAGGGCAGCTTCTTCGAGTAGTTCCCTGTCGATGCGCTTAAGCGCCCAACGCGGGCCGTCGTTAATCGGGGTTGTTGGATGGCGGCCGCTCGCAGTCTGGGCAGAGACGTCGAACCGGATATACCGATGGTCCGACAGCGTCTCCACCTCTGCGGCGACACGCCAGTCGCGGACTCGGCTGGCGACAGAGGGGCTAGCAAACGAGACGTCCACTATCGACCCACCCCGCTGCCGCACGCACGTGTATTCCGAACCCCGATTCAGGACGACCAGACCAGTCGTCACCGTCCACTCTTCTAACACCTCGCCCCGAGGGTCAGTGACCGGAGATCCCCACGCCGATGACTTGGCGTTGAGATCCCCGAGCACCAGAACGGGACGAGGGTGATAGCGGCCTACGACGGCGCCCAACTCGACAAGGAAACCCTCAAAGTCGGCGAGACTCTTGTTGGGGGAGAAATACGCCCCTACAATAACGATTCCGCCCGAGACCGCAGCAACCCAGCCGCGGCCCCGAGACGGGTCGGTCAGAGTCTCGCCAATAATGGCCACCAAACCGTCAGCGCATCCCAACCAGTTGTCACGGGCGGGAATGAAGTACGGTTCGGCGACCACAGCCACGTGAATCGACCACTCTGCCATGCTCTGGAGTAGGAGATCCTGAGCTCTGGCACAGTGGTTGATGTTGCCCTGGAGAAAATGGAGGGAATGGAATTGTGCCATTATTGACATTCCATCCCCTCGGCAACGGTCCTGGGCCGGGAGTCGGCCGCGGAGCTGCTAGCCTGCGAGGGCAGGGAGGTTAACCCGGCAGGCTTAGTGCTCCTCTTCTTTTCCTTTTTCTTTTTCTTGCTGGTAGGCGCCCCACAAGCTCCTCCGCCTACTCTGTGCTCCGCTGGCCTTCCCGCAGCAGAACAAAGGCTGCAGTTGAGCGCCGCGGAGCACAGGGCAGCCTTGTGGCCAGGCTGGCCGCAGCGATAACAGAGGTCACTACGGTCAACCTCGGCGGTGCACTTCGCCCGGACGTGCCCTTTTTCCAGGCACCGAAAGCACTGCAAAGCCCGGGGCTGTAAGAGCTTGGTCCTTGCCGCCACCCAGCCTACCAGCAATCTGCCGCTATCGGCGATCTTCTTCGCCGACGCTACAGGGCACCGAACCCAGACCGCGCCGAGTCCGGTGGCGTCGGTGCGTATTTCGCCAGCCCGCACCTTGTCCGGCGGACACTCTCCGCTTCTGGCAACGGCCGCCACCACCTCCTCTGAGGTCACGGAGTCGTCCAGGCCAGCAATCCGCACCTCTGCGGTTTTCATTGGCCTGGAGACCCGGACGTCCTCTGGGTTGAGGACCTCCCTCATCTTGGCGGCCAGTGCGTCCGCCTTTTCGGCACTGCCGCTCACAGTGCCAGCCACCTCGAACAGTCGTGCACCCGTGGCAGCCTGCCTGAGGGTGACGGACTGAAGGCCAAGATCAGATAATTTGATCTTGGCCTTGGCCTCGGCGATGACCGACTGGTACGTCACGCCACGCTCCACAGCTCCAGGCTGCAACGTTATTGTCACAGCGTTGGACCGCGGAACATGTACAGCCGGTCTCTTGCGACCGCCTTTGGCAGTCCGCTGTGCAGGTTTAGGAGCCGTCTTTGCGGTTCCACCTGGGGCACATGCAGCTGCTGCGGCCTTCTTGGCGGCTTTGCGGGCCTTCTTGCGGCCCACGACTTTCGCCCAGGTCTCACCCTTAGACCCGGCAGTCGTGGGCTGGTTGCTCGGAGGAGCTCCCTCCGCGGGCTTTTTATTACCCTCCGCGGGCTTCCCCTTTTGAGGCGCAAGTCTCGGCGGCTCCTCAGTCCTCCGCGTGTCAGCCGCTAAAGGCGGACGGAGGATTTCCACCGGGAGACGCCGAGAAATTGCCTCCAGCCGAGCGTTAACCATGCTCCCGCACTGGAGCATGCAGTGCCGGACAATGCGCTCGACCTCTTCGTCGGTACGAGGGCTTGCCGGTCGCAGTGCGGGAGTCGGGTCCACTACAGGTGCGGCATCGCTGGACGTGCGTTGCTGCTGCTGCTCGCTTAGCGCAGCAACTTGCCGCCGGAGGTCCTCCAAGTCATTTCTGAGGCGGCTGTTTTCCTCCTGTAACTTTGCGACCTCGTCAGAGGCCGTCCTGTTGAGGAGGATGCCAACCGCCTCCCTGATATCCGCGGCAGCCTCCTTTAAGCCACGGGTGAACGTGCCCTTCAGGCTGCCGGACTTGGTGGCAACCTTCAGGACTAAGTCCACCCCATCCAGAGCCAGCTGGCTTAAGGCCACCGCAGATGGCTCACCCCCTTCCGCCGCAAGAGCAGCTCGTCGCTCGCGAGCACGTCGGGCCATTTCCGACACTTCGTCGGCCGCGACGGCTTTGCGCTGCTCCCTCTTGGCGGCATTGAGCTCCGCCTTTGAGCTCCCCAGCGAGGCACAGCTTTCACCGCCATCGCCAGGGTCCTCCGTAGTGAACCCCATGTCACTATCTGCTTCACTAGCCGCCGAGGTATTGGAGCACACGAACCGTCCGTGCTTATCCCTCCGCGGCTGCGAAGCACTCGCCCCTCTAGATGCCTGCCGACCCCTCCCCGAAGTCGGCAACTTGGGGGCCGGCAGACCTTCCTCGTCTGACAATCGGCACACTGGACGTTTCCTAGCGGAAGACGTCCCACGCGATCGATTTCCGCCGCTTCCAGTATCAGATCCTGCCTGATTTTCTACCTCTACTGATTTTTTTAGATATTTTTCTCTTTCCATTTTTTATCCCACGAGTGTGGAGGAAATAACAGTCCATCCGAGCAGTGCCTCCTTTGCCCGGATAAGCCTATGCGTAACCCGTCAAGGGTGTCGGCCGGTACCCCGACGGGGGCAACGCTAACGACTGAACATTTACCCATCAGCCATGCAGCTCCTCACGGCGTGCCACGCTTGAGCTTCGGGTGATTTTTTAAAGAGGTTATCATCCTCGCGACTCCAGGCGGTTAAGCCAAGAGCCCTCGGCCCCTAAGGCGCCGCGAGACGTGATCCACGACACGCCAGAGGGATTCCGAGGTTCGAATGGTGGCAGAGTCGATACGGGTTCTTCCCATGCCTGCCCAGAGACCGGGTTAGGGAACACTGAGCCCATTCAGTTTCCTTTTTTACAGGGTGTGGTCCCTGAAAATCCCGCGATTACGGGTTGCCCGGCGTCGGCAAAAACCGAGTGCACCTGGCACCTCACCGCGCATGTCACATTCTCTGTTCCTCTCAAGGGAGAGGATACAGGAAGCAACTAATAGGCCCTCCGCTATGCAAAAAAGCCCTCACCCAGCCAGTTTTGGTCCGCGACGGTTTCCCGCTACCACCCATATCTGAGTGGCGTTCCCCTATCCGCCACCTGGGGACGCGCCCGATGTGAGCTCTGGCAACTCCACACGGGAGCCTAACCTAGCCTAACCTAACCTAACCTAACCTAACCTAACCTAACCTAACCTAACCTTTTTTTTTTTTTTTTTTTTTTTACATGGGGAAATGCCTACGCATACCCGCCTCGCGGGGGCAAGGACGGGTTATGTCGGACTCGCACCGACTAAAACCCCATGGTGTTCCACCCTCGTCGCATATTGGCAGGGCCACGGGAACGCTTTCGCACACTTCCGCGGCCCCACCTGCGCCGGCCACCCCATGGCGGCCCCTCCTCGGGAGAGGACCACTCCTCCCCATCTCCTTCTCCGGTAAGGCGCACCAGAACACATGGCGCGCCCTCCTCCTCGGCCTCCAATTTCATATGCGCAACAGACGCCCCCGTGTCCGATGCGCGAAGGCCATGGGGCCAGGAAAAACTAGCACTAAGAAGCACCAGCCTTCCCGATCCCAGCGGCGGATCTGGTCTATGGCTCCGCCGCCAACCAAGATTCGGCTGCGGAGGGTAGGGAGAGCGGCGCCTCGCAATACCGACACTCCTCTCCCCCCGCAGCCCCACCACCACCGCATCATTTAACGGTGCGGCCCCGTCTGAGTCGCGGAGGATAGGGCGAGTGGCGCATCGCCATACCAACACTCCTCTTCCTCCGCGACTCCACCTCGGCTGCAGCGGTAGAGGGTTGCGGACTCCCCTCTCACCACAGCCCCCCGACACACATCCGAAGTGGGCTTCCCAAGCCCACTCGGAGTGGCCACCTCGGGCCGGCCCTACACCTCGGGCCAGCCAAGGGGTTCCTCTTCGTTCACCGTGGTTGACCAAGCCACGGCTACTAAGCCCCCCCGCCACGACAAGGCGGGAACCCGTTCGGGGGGGAACCTAACCTAACCTAACCTAACCTAACCTAACCTAACCTAACCTAACCTAACCTTTTTTTTTTTTTTTTTTTTTTTTACGGGGGGAAATCCTCATGGACTACCTCCGCCTGGGGAAAGGCGGAGGGGCGTGCCGGACTCTTACCGGCTAAAACCACCCCGGTGTCAACTCACACGTGCGCGTGGGGCCGCGGGAATCCAAATTCTTCCGCAGCCCCACACTAGTGCTGGCCCGGTCCGTCCAGGCCTCGTCTCCTGCACGGGGTAGTGAGGTGTTAAACTACCCCGTGTATCGCCTCAGGGGCGCGCACCGACACCCGCGCGCGCCTCCGCCTCGGGTCCATCGAGTAGGGGTGGCGGGGGCTTCCCCAAGTCCCTCGCCCCTGGACCCATTTATGGGGGCCGGAAAAGGGCGTTGTCCGCCCTTCTCCTGCGCCCGGTGCGCCTTCTGCGGCCAGGAAAGGGAGTCGAGATCTCCCTTTCCCGTTCCGCAGTTTCCTTCTGCGACATCACGTCCTCGCAGAAGGACACCACTGCATCCCACGACTCTGCGCTACCGACCATCTTCTGCACTAAGGCCGGCAGCGACAGATCGCCTCCTACTTTATTTGTGAGGACACGGCGCTGCTCCTCCCAAGCTACACACTCGGCGAGCGTGTGTTGCGCCGTGTCCTCCCCGCAATGGACGCAGTGGTGACACCGAGCGTCCGGCTCCCTGTCTATGCGGCGCAGGTACTTGCCGAAGCAGCCATGCCCCGACAGCACCTGCGTCACCCTAAACGACAGGGAGCCGTGCCTTCTCCCGAGCCAGTCGTCGAGTACTGGCCGGATCGCCTCGACGGTAGCGAGGCCGGCGGTAGGGCGCAGAAGCCTTTGCCGCCATTCCGCCACCAAGACCTGACGGAGCTCCTCTCGGCGCAGCGCGATCTGCCGCTGCACCGGCCTCGAGCCCCGTGCCCGCTCTTCCTCGCGCCATCGATATAATGACGCGAGTACTTTCGCCTCTAGGTCCCAGGGCGGGGATCCGGCCAGGACGCAAGCCGCCTCGTAGGAAATCGTGCGATACCCACGGACGACTCTGACGGCCATCGCCCTCTGCGGTTTACGCAGAATGGCAAGAGTGCTGGCCGTCATGTCCATCGCCCACACAGGGGCCCCATACAGGGCCATGGACCGCACGATTCCCACGTACAACCGCCTACAGGCGGCGCTCGGGCCCCCCAAGTTGGGAAGCAACGTTGATAGCGCGCCCGCTGCACCCATCAGCTTGGGCGCCAGCCGCCGGAAGTGGGGTCCGAATTCCCATCGGCTGTCGAGCACCAATCCCAGATACTTCATGGTGGACTCGACAGCTATCCGGGCCCCGCAGACCACGATGTGTGAACCCGGCGGCGGCGCGCGTCGAGGGCCATGGAACACCATGGCCTCCGACTTATTTAGGGCCACCTCCAGGCCCAGGCGCCGGATGCGGTTCACCACTTGTGACACCGCAGCCGTGGCAACCAACGCTGCTTCCCTGTGTGAACTCCCCCGGGCAGTGACGAGCGTGTCGTCCGCATAACACGTCAAGTCGGCGCCCGACGGGAGTTCACCTCTCAGCACCCAGTCGTAGCCGATGTTCCACAGGAGCGGTCCCAAGACCGATCCCTGCGGAACACCGCACGACATGACGCGCCGACCAGCGCCGTCACGTCCCCAATAGGTAACGCATCTCTCCTCAAGGTAAGTCCCTATTGTGCGGCGGAGGTAGGGAGGCACGCGATGGTAATTCAGCGCCTCCCGAATACAACTCCAGGGTAGGGTGTTGAAGGCGTTGGAGATGTCTAAGGACACCGCCAGCACCACCCCACCCCGGGATACTGTCTCCTCCGCCAGGGCCCTCACGCGCGTAATAGCGTCTATGGTGGAGCGCCCGCGACGAAAACCAAACTGGTTCTCGTCCAGGTCCGGCCCCTCTCTGCACAAGTGGCTGACGAGGCGATCTGCGACGATGCGCTCAAGAAGTTTGCCCGCCTCGTCGAGCAGCACTATGGGCCGGTACGCGGACGGTGAGTCCGCGGGGCGCCCCTCCTTCCTGAGCAGGACCAGCCTCCCCTCCTTCCACACACTGGGAAACTGACCCTGCTCGAGACATGCCGTGAAGAGCCCTCTCAGCTGGGGCTCTAGCTCTTTCAGAGCCAGGACGAGAGCTCGACCAGGAACTCCGTCGGGTCCGGGCGCTGTGTTCTTAGCCCGGAGTCGCGACACGGCCGCTCTCGTCTCTGTTTGCGTCACCTCGGGGACGTCGGTGCTCTCCTCTTCTGGAGAGTCTGTGGCTGAGGGCGAAGCCATCGCCGGGGGAACGTGTCCCACTCGCTCAGGGAAGAGAGCCGATACCACCGCCTCTAGCAACTGGGGTTGCATCGTTTGTGTTAGTGGAGGCGCCCAGGGACGCAACTTGCCCCGTACCCAACGGTAGGGGCGCCCCCACGGATCCCGATCTAGGGATCCCAGCAGCACTTCCCTGGCACGCGACTTTGAGTCGCCGATGGCCAGCCACAGAGTCTCCTTAGACGCGCGGTACACCTCATACAGCGCGTCCTCCTCGGCGGGATCCCGTCGACGCCGCCTCCGGTATCGGGTGTACCGGCGACGAGCCGCAACGCACGCTATGCGCAATTGCGCGATCTCGGCGGTCCACCAGTACACCTGGCGCCTTGCGGACCGTTGGTGGACACGGGGCATGGACGCGTCGCAGATCTGCGTCATCGCCCCGCGAAACCATAGCGCCACCGCTTCGACGTCGACGGGGCCGTCCGTCGTCGACTCCCGAATCCAGGACTGGACTAGGGCAGCTTCTTCGAGTAGTTCCCTGTCGATGCGCTTAAGCGCCCAACGCGGGCCGTCGTTAATCGGGGTTGTTGGATGGCGGCCGCTCGCAGTCTGGGCAGAGACGTCGAACCGGATATACCGATGGTCCGACAGCGTCTCCACCTCTGCGGCGACACGCCAGTCGCGGACTCGGCTGGCGACAGAGGGGCTAGCAAACGAGACGTCCACTATCGACCCACCCCGCTGCCGCACGCACGTGTATTCCGAACCCCGATTCAGGACGACCAGACCAGTCGTCACCGTCCACTCTTCTAACACCTCGCCCCGAGGGTCAGTGACCGGAGATCCCCACGCCGATGACTTGGCGTTGAGATCCCCGAGCACCAGAACGGGACGAGGGTGATAGCGGCCTACGACGGCGCCCAACTCGACAAGGAAACCCTCAAAGTCGGCGAGACTCTTGTTGGGGGAGAAATACGCCCCTACAATAACGATGCCGCCCGAGACCGCAGCAACCCAGCCGCGGCCCCGAGACGGGTCGATCAGAGTCTCGCCAATAATGGCCACCAAACCGTCAGCGCATCCCAACCAGTTGTCACGGGCGGGAATGAAGTACGGTTCGGCGACCACAGCCACGTGAATCGACCACTCTGCCATGCTCTGGAGTAGGAGATCCTGAGCTCTGGCACAGTGGTTGATGTTGCCCTGGAGAAAATGGAATTGTGCCATTATTGACATTCCATCCCCTCAGCAACGGTCCTGGGCCGGGTGTCGGCCGCGGAGCTGCTAGCCTGCGGGGGCAGCGAGGTTAACCCGGCAGGCTTAGTACTCCTCTTCTTTTCTTTTTTCTTCTTCTTGCTGGCAGGCGCCCCACAAGCCCCTCCGCCTACTCTGTGCTCCGCTGGCCTTCCCGCAGCAGAACAAAGGCTGCAGTTTAGCGCCGCGGTGCACAGGGCAGCCTTGTGGCCAGGCTGGCCGCAGCGATAACAAAGGTCACTACGGTCAACCTCGGCGGTGCACTTCGCCCGGACGTGCCCTTTTTCTAGGCACCGAAAGCACTGCAAAGCCCGGGGCTGTAAGAGCTTGGTCCTAGCCGCCACCCAGCCTACCAGCAATCTGCCGCTATCGGCGATCTTCTTCGCCGACGCTACAGGGCACCGAACCCAGACCGCGCCGAGTCCGGTGGCGTCGGTGCGTATATCGCCAGCCCGCACCTTGTCCGGCGGACACTCTCCGCTTCTGGCAACGGCCGCCACCACCTCCTCAGAGGTCACGGAGTCGTCCAGGCCAGCAATCCGCACCTCTGCGGTTTTCATTGGTCTGGAGACCCGGACGTCCTCAGGGTTGAGGACCTCCCTCATCTTGGCGGCCAGTGCGTCCGCCTTTTCGGCACTGCCGCTCACAGTGCCAGCCACCTCGAACAGCCGTGCACCCGTGGCAGCCTGCCTGAGGGTGACGGACTGAAGGCCAAGATCAGATAATTTGATCTTGGCCTTGGCCTCGGCGATGACCGACTGGTACGTCACGCCACGCTCCACAGCTCCAGGCTGCAACGTTATTGTCACAGCGCTGGACCGCGGAACATGTACAGCCGGTCTCTTGCGACCGCCTTTGGCAGTCCGCTGTGCAGGTTTAGGAGCCGTCTTTGTGGTTCCCCCTGGGGCACATGCGGCTGCTGCGGCCTTCTTGGCGGCTTTGCGGGCCTTCTTGCGGCCCACGACTTTCGCCCAGGTCTCACCCTTAGACCCGGCAGTCGTGGGCTGGTTGCTCGGAGGAGCTCCCTCCGCGGTCTTTTTATTACCCTCCGCGGGCTTCCCCTTTTGAGGCGCAAGTCTCGGCGGCTCCTCAGTTCTCCGAGTGTCCGCCGCCAAAGGCGGACGGAGGATTTCCGCCGGGAGACGCCGTGAAATCGCCTCCAGCCGAGCATTAACCATGCTCCCGCACTGGAGCATGCAGATCCGGACAATGCGCTCGACCTCTTCGTCGGTACGAGGGCTTGCCGGTTGCGGTGCGGGAGTCGGGGCCACTACAGGTGCGGCATCGGTGGACGTGCGTCGCTGCTGCTCTTCGCTCAAAGCAGCGACTTGCCGTCGGAGGTCCTCCAAGTCATTTCTGAGGCGGCTGTTTTCCTCCTGCAACTTTGCGACCTCGTCAGAGGCCGTCCTGTTGAGGAGGATGCCAACCGCCTCCCTGATATCCGCGGCAGCCTCCTTTAAGCCACGGGTGAACGTGCCCTTCAGGCTGCCAGACTTGGTGGCAACCTTCAGGACTAAGTCCACCCCATCCAGAGCCAGCTGGCTTAAGGCCACCGCAGATGGCTCTGCCCCTTCCGCCGCAAGAGCAGCTCGTCGCTCGCGAGCACGTCGGGCCATTTCCGACACTTCGTCGGCCGCGACGGCTTTGCGCTGCTCCCTCTTGGCGGCATTGAGCTCCGCCTTTGAGCTCCCCAGCGAGGCACAGCTTTCACCGCCATCGCCAGGGTCCTCCGTAGTGAACCCCATGTCACTATCTGCTTCACTAGCCGCCGAGGTATTGGAGCACACGAATCGTCCGTGCTTATCCCTCCGCGGCTGCGAAGCACTCGCCCCTCTCGATGCCTGCCGACCCCTCCCCGAAGTCGGCAACTTGGGAGCCGGCAGGCCTTCCTCTTCTGAAGACCGGCACACTGGACGTTTCCTAGCGGAAGACGTCCCACGCGACCGATTTCCACCGCTTCCAGTATCTGATACTGCCTCCTTTTCAACCTCTACGTTTTTAATTATTTTATATTTATCCATGTTTTATCCCACGAGTGTGGAGGAAATAGCAGTCCATCCGAGCAGTGCCTCCTGTGCCCGGATAAGCCTATGCGTAACCCGTCAAGGGTGTCGGCCGGTACCCCGACGGGGGCAACGCTAACGACTGAACATTTACCCATCAGCCATGCAGCTCCTCACGGCGTGCCACGCTTGAGCTTCGGGTGATTTTTTAAAGAGGTTATCATCCTCGCGACTCCAGGCGGTTAAGCCAAGAGCCCTCGGCCCCTAAGGCGCCGCGAGACGTGATCCACGACACGCCAGAGGGATTCCGAGGTTCGAATGGTGGCAGAGTCGATATGGGTTCTTCCCATGCCTGCTCAGAGACCGGGTGAGGGAACACTGAGCCCATTCAGTTTCCTTTTTTTTTACAGGGTGTGGTCCCTGAAAATCCCGCAATTACGGGTTGCCCGGCGTCGGCAAAAGCCGAGTGCACCTGGCACCTCACCGCGCATGTCACATTCTCTGTTCCTCTCAACGGAGAGGATACAGGAAGCAACTAGAAGGCCCTCCATTACCCAAACAAGCCCTCAGCCAGCCAGTTTTGGTCCGCGACGGTTTCCCGCTACCACTCATATCTGAGTGGCGTTCCCCTATCCGCCACCTGGGGACGCGCCCGATGGGAGTTCTGGCAACTCCACACGGGAACCTAACCTAACCTAACCTAACCTAACCTAACCTAACCTAACCTTTTTTTTTTTTTACATGGGGAAATGCCTACGCATACCCGCCTCGCGGGGGCAAGGACGGGTTATGTCGGACTCGCACCGACTAAAACCCCATGGTGTTCCACCCTCGTCGCATATTGGCAGGGCCACGGGAACGCTTTCGCACACTTCCGCGGCCCCACCTGCGCCGGCCACCCCATGGCGGCCCCTCCTCGGGAGAGGACCACTCCTCCCCCATCTCCTTCTCCGGTAAGGCGCACCAGAACACATGGCGCGCCCTCCTCCTCGGCCTCCAATTTCATATGCGCAACAGACGCCCCCGTGTCCGATGCGCGAAGGCCATGGGGCCAGGAAAAACTAGCACTAAGAAGCACCAGCCTTCCCGACCCCAGCGGCGGATCTGGTCTATGGCTCCGCCGCCAACCAAGATTCGGCTGCGGAGGGTAGGGAGAGCGGCGCCTCGCAATACCGACACTCCTCTCCCCCCGCAGCCCCACCACCACCGCATCATTAAACGGTGCGGCCCCGTCTGAGTCGCGGAGGATAGGGCGAGTGGCGCATCGCCATACCAACACTCCTCTTCCTCCGCGACTCCACCTCGGCTGCAGCGGTAGAGGGTTGCGGACTCCCCTCTCACCACAGCCCCCCGACACACATCCGAAGTGGGCTTCCCAAGCCCACTCGGAGTGGCCACCTCGGGCCGGCCCTACACCTCGGGCCAGCCAAGGGGTTCCTCTTTGTTCACCGTGGTTGACCAAGCCACGGCTACTAAGCCCCCCCGCCACGACAAGGCGGGAACCCGTTCGGGGGGGAACCTAACCTAACCTAACCTAACCTAACCTAACCTAACCTAACCTTTTTTTTTTTTTTTTTTTTACATGGGGAAATGCCTACGCATACCCGCCTCGCGGGGGCAGGGACGGGTTATGTCGGACTCGCACCGACTAAAACCCCATGGTGTTCCACCCTCGTCGCATATTGGCAGGGCCACGGGAACGCTTTCGCACACTTCCGCGGCCCCACCTGCGCTGGCCACCCCATGGCGGCCCCTCCTCGG